AGCCACATATAGGAGAAGGTCATAAAAAAATCGAGTTATAGTAATATTCGAGTTATCGTACTTCGAGTTATAGCGAATTGACTGTACTTGCAAAATCTCCATATTAGAAAATCGACTCAACTTTCCCTCAGAAAAAAAAATGTGTGGAAAGTAAGAATATTTCAAAACCAATAATCATTAGTTGCATCATTTATAGTTATCAATAGCTTTTGATCGAAAAACATTTTGAGGATGTCACAAGTTTTAAAGCTTGTTATAGCAGCTTGTATTATCTTCAAATCTCGTGCGATCTCAATTTCCGCAATATAATTAAGAAGATGAGGAAAAAAATAATAATAACTTACCATAGCATGCTGGCTAAGCTTATATATGATTTTTATAAAATTAAAATATGACTTTTTTAAAAAACGATTTCTCAGGAACTACTAGATGGATTTCAGCCAAATTCGTATTCTTCCATGTAAAATTACATTCTTTAAAATGACGCAAAAATAAAATTAACATTAAGAGATCCACAATTTGGAGCTCTCTTCTAACCAAACTATTTGGACCATTTTTCCCTCATTGCTGCTACCTCCTATATTTTGGGGATTAGGAATCCGTCGGAGAAAAGTTTGTTCATAGAAAGTATATTTTTGCGTCTGATTTCGTAACCTGAAATGTAGCCTGCACTAATTAATTAGACTACTTGAGGTCACCTCCTCGAACCATTAAGATTGATTCCTAGAACGATTCGATCATTAGATTTAAAGTTCTTTTTTCTCTGTTTCTTTCCTATGCACTGTAAAATAATGATGGATAGAGCACCTTGCTACGAATTGGAAGGTCCTGTCCTTGGTTTGAATCCTGCCCGCACCCAATAAATATTTCTCTCACACATTTCTCCTCCCTTTTGCATTTTGCTCAAAAACGAGTATTTGCTGTTTCAATTTTGAATACATGGGAATTTCTAGTTCGACTAATATTTGCTTTAGAACTATTTAAACACATTTCTGTTCAATTTTGAGAAGCCTTTTCCTTTCAGTAAATAGGTGCAACTTTCTTGAACGCAAGAAAATAATCCTCTTGCTACGTTAGTAAGCAAGCGTTAGTAAGCAAAAATTCCAAGTTTAAAACTATAAGCTTCTTTTTTGCCAGGTTCAAACACACATATTCACCAAATAGCGTGAAAAAATTGTTTAAAATTTTATATACAGTGCGAAAATAAAGCACGGAAAACCCTTATACTGTCATGCTAATGAAAAGACAACGTCTACGGTAAGAACTCCCCCCGCCACAAATTCTGAGACCATCTGCTGCTATGGAAACCAGACTAGCTCATTTCAGGGAATTCAGCTTCTCTTCACTCTAGGGCTAAGAAAAAGATTCTCTCGCCAACCCGAGTGTCCTAAACAGTGACCCCACACCCCTACTTGAAATAGTTACACCTCGTTACCATAGTCACGGCAACGGTTTCAGACGAATGGCTAGGGGCGTTCTACCTTTAAACAAACTATAAGTGCTTCGCGATTGAAAAAAGTGACTTGACAGCTTTTCTCCTATTGTTAAGGCTATGAACGCTAAAATAGTATTTCAAAACACTGATTAAAAAAAATTTATTTTTGATTTCTTTTTTTAATATATATACATAGCTTGCCACATAAAAATGCCAATTATATAAAAATCTCAATTTTAAATTTTTGTCCCTTACGTTGGTTTTTCAATTGCACGGCAGTATAAACTTTTGCTCTAATAATCAGATTTTCACGTACAAGGACTCAATTTATAGTTTCGAGAACCTGACCTCAAATATGCTAATTGAGATAATATTTTAAGCGAAATCATACACAAAATCGTACTTTATGCATTTCTTTTTTGGTCGGATTATTTTTTGACTATCTAAATATGGGAGGTAGCCGGGGTTATATGGTGCTAATAATTCAGTCAGTTCGGACCCCATTATGTTAATTTTGTGTATTTCACCATAACTCGAGAACTGCGTGAGCATATTTACACAAAATTATAAAATTCATAACATATTTCCATGCAAAAATATTTTTTAATAATTATTTATTATTTTTTAAAATTTAATTTATTAATGGTCGATATAATTTTAAATTGTAAAGTATAAACATTTTTACACATCATTTTGAAGAAAGCAAATTTACAGGAAAAAATACAAAATTTTAATACGTAGTTTCAAAGTTATCAAATATAAAAAAAAGTGTTATCAAATTTTAAAATTTGATTTCTCGAGAACTATGCGTCTGATTTTGTTAAAATTTTGTGTTTTGAAATGATATGTAAATCAGAATGATGTTAAAAATTGTATTGTACAATTCAAAAATTATATGACCTTTAATTAAATGAAATATTAAAAAATAATGAATAATTATTTAAAATATATATTTTTTTGAATGGAATTATCTTTAGAGGAACGAATTTTATTCTGAACTAAATTTTTTCGATTCGCTTAAAACGTTCTCGAATTATGGTGAAACACGTAGAAATTAACATTAAGTGGTCCAAACTTCGACTGCTATCTTGATTTAATTATTGGAACCATATTTCCCAAATTACTGCACCCTTCCCGCATATTTTGAGGGTCAGAAATTCAAATCCGTCAAACAAAGATGGGTTTATTCTGCGAAAGTACGCTTTTGTGTTTGATTTCTTAACTTAAAATATTCCTTTCCTCCCTCAATGAAGCGATAGCCCTATGTAGGGAGTGGCTTTCCTTAGAATTCTATTCCAAGTTGCCCCATCTTTAGACTTGGCTTTACATCCGGCTTCTTTGAGAACACTAAAGTCTCTTTCCAGACAATCTAGCCTTAAAAAAATATATATTAGTTCTTTGTGATAAAATTTATTACAAATAGGGAAATTTGTTGAAACCTAACCGCATTTTGGTACATAGGCAGGGATGGTACAGGTACATAGACACAGGTAGGACAAAT